AAAAAATCAAAAATTGCAATGGTGCATTACATGTTTCTTATTGATGCCCACAATGACCATAATGGATCTGCCTAATTAGTTCACCTCGTGACATGATTCTCTGTTTTTTTTGGACGAACATGTTGTGGCTTGGATGATGGCGGCAATATATAACCCACTTCCTCCAAAACATCTAGACAGTCAAGTGTTGGGATTTAGTATATTGGATCCGAATATGCTTTCTTATATGTGCTCATAAAGAAATAATAATCAACAAATCCATATATGATGCATCCACTCTTATGTATTGTTGAAAACGCATGTGAACAAGGGAATCCATTAATTTGTCAGTGATAACATGTGCATGTGTTGTTTACAATCTCAATGACCACCAATGGAAATGAATTGACCTCGCACACATCATTACTTAAAATCCTTACAAACCACGATCTACTTTCATTGAATGCATAATTTAACATGGATTCCATATTAGGGCATCTGTTCCTATTCTAACTAGCCGACCCTTGCAACCTACAATCCTTCTTATCCATAATATGTGTCTTATACTGTCAATCATGCTAGTAATTGATAAATGTTGAGCTTTCAAAATCCACGTATTAAAAGACTCTGCAACATTTGATGACATTTCGTCGTAACACTTGCATTGGAAATAAGCATTTATCCAATTTTCAAAAGGAAGATTTTTCAAAAACTAATCAATGTTAGTATCATCTTCACGACAAAAATATTAAACCTTCTCATTAAAAACAGAAACTGTCAGTGCATAAGCACACTCACATAACTTAAAAGCCATATGCTCCCTGAAACCATTAGAAAAACAATTTTCGCTAAATTTGTCTCTCAAATTAACTTTTAAATGTTTTAGGCAAAACGCATGGTGAGTAGTAGGGAAAAATTTATGGATGGCTTCCAACAATCCAACATTACGGTCAGATACAAAAGTCATCTCGTGATCATTGTCCAAAATCTGAGCCAACTGTTGTAAAAACCATCTGTATTTTACCTTATTTTTAGAATCAACAACCGCAAAATGTAATGAGTATAAAACTAATAAAATAATTAAAAAAACACATACAAAAAAAATAACAACTGTAACATTAGAATATAACATACGACTTTTAAAAAAGAATATGTCTTGATTGTCATCTTTGCCAGTTGCTGAAAAAATATTCCTTGATACATGCTTTTTGATAATGTTCCATCAATAAAAAGAAGTGACCGATAATAATTGAAGCCATCAATATTAACTTTAAATGACACAAATAATCTTTGAAACTGGTTAGTCTCTTTACCACAATCTAAAATAATGTGGCTGCTTGGATTGGCACTAACTGCAGCATCAACATATCAACGTATCCATTGATAAGACAGTGAATGATCACAAAAACATCATTCCTTTTACTTTCTCAACACCACACCAAGCACGATCATATGAAATCGTAAGACCATAATCAATACAAAATTCTCTAACCACTTCAGTTGGTTGAGCTTTTGTATTTCATGAACATGATCAACAATCAATTCAACAATAAGATTAGAACTCAATCTCTTATTCTCATTGGTACGTAGTGCAACACTACATGTGTGTTCATTGTGTAATTTTATTATGTGGAAGTAACCATTTACCTTTTCAATTCTTGCATTAATATTTCACCCACATCCCCATGAAATATGTCGCTGCCAACTCAGCCACAACCCTAGATTTACAACTCTTTACGTAGTTGAATTCAAAACCACACTTAATCGAATATTTGCAAATTGAATTACGAAATTGCTAACACCACTTTCAATTTTTTTGCTATTCATGTCGTATTTCATTAATTCACACCGAAGTTAGAAGAACTTTCTCGTTATGTGAACTATAACAAGGAAGCAAATCATACTCATTATCAACACCATCATCACGTATATGGACATCTTCACACTAACATGATTGACGTTGAGAAAACGTACCATGTCAAACATGTTCTTCAGGTCTTCATTATTTTTCACAATACATTTCGGATGATCAGGGATTGAATATGACAAATCAATAGCAACATTCCTCAACTTCACCCATGTATCATACAGTTGTCATATGATATTGTCCAACAATGAACATGTAGGCACTTTGATCACTGATGTCGCATCGCCATATCTACACACCAACAATATCATATCCTCCATCTAATATCCTACCTCAAATTAAATTAACACTTATTCAAAACACAAAAGCATAACTCTTCTACAATGAGACAATGACATTATAGTATAACAATATTATAACATACACATAGTACCATGTTAAGAGTTATATGTTCACGGTAATAGTATTGCACATGTAGAAAAAAAATAATACCTACATTAGGCAAATTGTTTTTATCATACCTGCATTAAACCACTACTAAATTAACATAAGAAACAATAGGAAAACAAAATAAGCTTTGACATGACATTATAGGACTACCCGTTTCAAAATTAAAATGGTGTTCACCAAACTTCTAAAATAGCAAAAAAAACACTACCTTGAAGTGGAAATAGAAGTCATTGATGAAGATAAAAAAATTGTGCAATTGTTGGTGGAGAAACAGTAGGCATCAAAGCTTATTTTGTGTCTCTTTGTGCAACTGTTAATGGAGAAACTACAGTCGTCAAAGTACAACAGGATCAGTCAACGTTGAAGTACAATCGTTGAAGTATAAAAAGCTATTAAAGAAGATGATCGATAACACCAGATGTTGAACCAACTTTGAAACAGACATTAAACCAACGTCTACTCATTAAATCATGCGTCGTTTATGGGTGAATAACATGTTCAAAATTCAAAAATAAATAAATAAAAAATCTTCTAGACTAGGAAACCGTCTAGTTAATACAACCAAATCCCATATAAAAAGGAACTACAAGAGTACAAAGTCCATGTATATTAAGTAAGGTTATTTTAGTAAAGGAAAATATAAAACAATTGTCATTGTATATCTAGACATAATAAATTTCAACCTAGTGGTACTTATCTACAATATATTTTATTCAAGGTCTTTTCTCACAAAAAAGTAGGACATAAGGTACCTACTCGCAATTTTTTGGAACAAGTTTTACTAGGTATTCTTTTTTCATAGGAGATACCACATTTTCCTAGAGTTCAAAGAAACAACCCATTATAACATTTTCAACTTATGAAACCGAGTACGTGGCGAATACATGCTTCAAGAAGAGTTGATAGAAATCTTCATTAACAACAAATAAACACTAGTGTTGCCAAAGAATCTGGTGCTCTATGATTGTAGTAAGCACATTAACACAAGATTTCATTTCATTAGAGAGTATGTGACTAAGAAAAATGAGGAGCTTAAGTTTGTGAAGTTACAAGCCCAAATTGTCGATATTTTCACTAAGCCCCTCAAAGAAGGTGATTTTTACAAATTGAAAAGTTTGCTTAAACTTGAGAAGAAAAATCATGTTTAAGAGGAGTTATTCTTACGCATTAGTTTTTTGTATTAGTGGATCATAATTTTGCTAGTTTTTTGTATTAATGGGAGACAAAGTAATTGTAATATTTGAATTCTCCAAGTAATGGAGGAATAGTGTTTTTATTGTTTTTATTATTGCATTATATAGTGTGGTTATATTTTATAAGTCTATATATGTCCTATGTAATACACTCATTTGGGTAATGAGTAAATTGAAAGAGTTTTCCATATCTCCAATAATCTCTCATATTATATTTTTTATGAGTGTAATAATTCCTTAGATTTCAACTGTAACAACCTCATAGGTTTTTCTATTTAAGGGTTTTTTTCTCTTTTTTTTCATTCAACGGTTAGAGATGTTTAGATTAATTTACATACAACTCGATTAATCCCCTTCTTACTTCGGTCAAAGACAGACCATCTATGCCTATGCCAAAACTACAGTATTCATGAGAGATAAATTCTTCAAAACTTGTCTTCAAAAAATTATCAAAATTCAAATTTAAAATATCCGAATTTGTCTTATGATCCCTTGAATTATGTTGATATTATCAACAAACACTTTAAATTCCTAGATTGTAGAGCCTGCAAAAAGGTCTCGCAAAGTTTAATTGCGAAAAAGATTTCACTACTGTTTTTTTTCCCACAGGTTGGGGTCAGACCAACCAAAGTCATCCAAAANTGCATATAAGTCAGCAATTTTCGGAAAATCCCTGTGACAAAAAATGAAATTAAGTGAGCGAAACGTCCCCTCAATGCGTTCTCTACTAGGAAGTACGGATACTCGCCGGGGGGTCGTCGTGGCAGTGTCGGACACGTTTTCGACACGGATACGCAGAGGACACGACCAGGCACGTGTCTGACACTTGTAAAAGTGTCCTATACAGTAAATTTGAATTTTTTTAGTCGGATACGTGGGGATACGGGAGGGACACGGCAGGATACGAAGGGGTACTTTTGTTATTTTAAAAACTTAGAGGGCTGAAACGAAAAAAAAATGCCAAAGTTACGTTATTTGGCTTAAAAAAGAAAAAATAAAAGGGAAAAGGGAAAAAGCAAAGTTGAAGCTTCGACACTTCAATGTGTTTGCGAGAGAGAGAGAGAGAGAGAGAGAGAGAGAGAAGAGAAGAACGAGCTCGAGAGGACCAAAAGAGGAAAAGAAGGAGAGGGAAAAGGAAGACTAACCTGCGACTACGATCTGGACCTGCGATTGCGGCCCAGTCTCCTACAGGTTCGTCTGGTTGCTTCAATTTTTTTTTTTTTCAAGATCTGCTGCTACTGCTCTTATTTCTTCTGATCTGTGTGGATTTTCAAAATAATTGATTAGGTTAGGATTTTAGAGTTTTCAAAATTTGAGGGTTTTTTATTGTTGTTATTGTGCTGTTGTNCCCTTTTTTTGTTTCTATAGTCTCTATCTCTGTTTTGCCCGTGTAGTGAGATAAAAGGGGGCAGCGTGGTGTGGGATCATTGGGCATTGATTTTAAACAACAAAGGAAGAAGATAAAAAGAGGGAAGAAGCATATGGAGGTTCGAGGGAGGAGATGCAGAGAGATGAGTCCCGACAGAGCCAAAGTGTGTGCGCAGCCCAGACCCAGAGTGATCAAACCTACTTTCAGAAAAGTTCAAGTTGTCTACTACCTCTCGAGAAATGGCCAGCTTGAGCACCCTCACTTCATGGAAGTAACCCATTTAGCTCATCAACAGCTTCGTCTAAAAGGTAAATCAGCTTCGAGAGAGAGAGAGGATCTTGTTGACAAGTTTTGTGACCTTTCTTTTGTCTGTTGTGCATATTGTATAGATGTCATAGACAGGCTTACGGTTCTCAGAGGTAAAGGCATGCCCTCCCTCTATTCCTGGTCTTGCAAAAGGTATGATGTCTCTCTCTCTCTCATCGAAGTCAATAGCATACATTAATAAAACTGTACTTTGTATATCTATATGCATATGTTTGAGATTTGAATGATAAACAGGCTTCACTTTAATAATGATTATGTTTACTGATGAATATACATCTTTGATCATGTACGCTCACTGGTTAATGATCATAGGAGCTACAAAAATGGATATGTATGGAATGACTTAGCAGAGACTGATATCATCTATCCATCAGAAGGAGCTGAATACGTACTGAAAGGATCTGAACTCCTGCAAGGCTGCACTGGTTAGTGTTATTTTTTTCAATAAACAAAAATTATTTCGGAACAAACTATTGATGTGTAATATAGATCATTTTTTTAGCTAGGTCATTTTTTTACAGCTTAGTTGGTCCATTAATCATTTGATTTTGATTTTCATTATATTTAATGGTTTTTCAAATGAACTACCATTTCTTATTTCAGAAAAACTTCAACAACTTCAAGTAGGCAACGCACAAGAAGCACTCCAAGAACCAGTCTTCAACCCAAAACGCAAACCACTAGCTACAAAACGGCACCCAGAACCAGAAGAAGTTGAAAACAACAGATACCAAGACGAAGATGAAAACGAAGAAGATGAAGAAGAGTATGAAGAGAAGACAAGCTATACAAGCTCAAACACACCCCAATCCAGATGCTCCAGAGGAGTCTCCACAGACGAACATGAATTACAACAAGAAACCCATAAAAACCCTAGCACTGAGTTAACTCTAGAGAACTCATCTCCTCCATCAACCACATCTTCAACACACTCTGACAAGCCCAATGAAAGTAAGACCAGTAACAACACTTCTAAGCGATTTGAGGATGGTGACCCATTACCAACCGAGTCAGTACTTAACCGCAACTCGGTGCTTTTACAACTCATTTCGTGTGGTGGCTCGGTATCGTTTAGAGGGAAGGGTGTCCCCGTTGTGACGCCAACACCACGGTGCACGGTGGCGAGAAAGAGTAGTAGTAGTAGTCTTCATAAAGGGGTGTTGTGTAAGACTGCGGCGGCGAAGGTGGTGCTTGGGGAGGAAGATGAGATCAATTGTATGTCGGAGAACCCAAGGTTTGGGAATTTACAGTCCGAGGAAAAGGAGTACTTCAGTGGGAGTATCGTCGAGTCCATGACACAGGAGAAAGTTCATGTTGAACCGGGTTTGAAGAAATCATCTTCATATAATGAAGAAAGGTCAGTGACTCGGTTTTGGTTTTTATTTTGGATTTCACCAATGTTGTTGTTGTGGATAATTTGAGGACCAAACATATTGAAGTATTTAAATTGATAATGAACTTTATTTAATCCTAATATTTACTGTTAATTTAATATCCTTAAAGCATTAGATAAGTCCAGGATCTTTAATTATATAGAACACATGAAGTAAGAGAAATAAGTTGTAATGTCATCTGAAAATCGATAGTATTGTATTGAAAAACACAGAAAAATTGATTGAATTGCTGATAGACTTGCATTTTTTAAAAATGGACTTTCTTGGTTATATTCACCATTTTATCTCGTTACTTAGGTTGTCTTTAGCTATTATTTGAATTTTTATTTAAATATAAATAAAAATTTAATTTGACATAGAGCACTCTGGTGAACACATTTAAAGTGCTAGTTAAGATTTTTAATTTTTTTAGGCGAGTCCATTTTTTCTTTTGTTTCCTAGAAATCTTTCTTTCCTCTTGTACATCTTTTCTCTAATTTGTTTTTAGTCAAAATTTTAAAGTTTACCTAACCCTTGATTACTAAAATTTGAAAAAATAAATTTCAAATTAAAGTGATGTTGATGGTAAATAATTTGAATTTGAGTAAAGTCATGCTTTCCTACCAATTGTAAGTTTAAATGAATATGAGAAGATAAGTAGGTGGAGACAAAGTTGAGGGATATGGAGAGAACGTTGAAATATGACCCTCATGGATTTGAATGAGAGTAATGCTAAGTTTAATTTTTAAGTTTATATTTTAAATTTATGTAACATTACTCTTTGAATAAAAGTCTTTTGGTTTAATTATATTTTTGTTTTGAGTAAAAACTCGAATTTTTTTTATTTTTAATTTGAATAGATTATAGATACCGAGAGAATATCAGGTTAGGGAACTCTCTAGATAAAACCATCATAGTTTGGCATTAATCTTGTTCTCATGTGTCCACTGGAGGAGTTGTTTCAATGGTTCAGGAGTTCGAAAGCTGGAATAGAACAAGCAGTGGAGGAGGAAGAACCGAAGAGAGAGAAAGCTTTGGGGAACTGCATCCCTAGAAAGAAGCCCTCTTCAAAACAATCCAAGAAATGAAAGAGAGCAGCTGGAGCAGCAGTTATGAACAGTTAAGAGGGGGTGTGCTGTTTGTCATTGACTTTTAATAACTGTGAGTGACCGTTGAGTAAAAAGTTGGTGAAAAAGGTTGAAACTTTAAGGGTGTACAAAGAGGTAGGGTGTGATTCCCTGTCCTCTGCTTTGGGTGCAGAAATTCTACGATATATATTATTCTACTGTTTGGTTTGAGTGCTTTAATGCCAATTAAGTGATGCTCTCGAGTACCATAATGGTTGTGTATTGCATGTGATGTGATGTGATGATCATTCTATAATTGCATAAATTAAGGGCTTTTTCCTGTGCTGCCCAAGTTTTTTATGGGCCAATTTATAGGCCCAAATTTTATGGGCCAATGTTGATAGGTTGAAACTTAGGTTTAATTGACTCTAATTATGTTTTCAAGATCTAAACAAAATTTTTAGACCTAAGTTTAATCAAACTCAATTCTGTTTTTAGAGCCCTCTAGAAATCTAATAGGGAGGGTTTTATAACCAGATTCAATTAAGCTCAATCTTTGTTTTAAGGCCCTTTGATAAATGTGAAACTCACTATAAAATTTTTAGCCCTAATTTAAGCAGCTTACTTTTGTGTGTTAAGGTCTCTTTGAAATTTGTAGTAACAAATTTAGACCTAGGTGTAATTAAGCTTAATCAGGCCCCTAGGTTAATGTGGGACTCATATCTTTCATTAGTATAATATTTTTGAAACTAGCATGCTTAAAAAATTATATAATATTTTCTCCCAATTATTATTTCTTACAACTTTGGGAAACCTAAAAATTATTCTATTTGTTATTTTTTTTCTATAATCTTATATTACTTTGACAAGTTAGATTTATTTGGATACGAATTGAGTTTGTTAAGAATTTATTTATTTTTCCAATACTGATGATGCACAAAATTGATTATACACGATCAAATCAATTAGGTGTGTAGTATAAGACAATTAATGAAGCAATCAATAATAAAAGAAAAAGATTAAGTGATTGAGTCTGAGTGAACTAATCACTGAAGGCGACAACGATAGCCGAAAAACTCTATTAATGAGAGACTACAAGGTAGTAGGGGGGAGAGAGCCAGAATACGCTCAATATGCAGTTTGTCTCTCCACTATTTAAGGGGTTTATAATTTACAGGTATAAATCTCTAGCTGAGGCGGTGATGTGAAGGTCTAGCTATTAATCTACCGAGGAAAATAGCTACAAATGAGGATAGGCACTATCTTGAAGTAATAACTATCTTGATAATTGCTTGTTAACTCTTTCTAAACTCTTGAGTTTTGGACTAAACTGAGACAATGCGATAAACCTGGCTTGCATTTTGATGATTTGGACTTAACCCATGGATTGGGCCCAAACCCAATTGAATTTGGGCTCATCATTTGCCCCTATGCCTCGAGCCCTAGTGGTGGTAGGGGTTGAGGACATGAGTAAACTTCTTTATTTGGGTAGACCAAGGTGTCTTGTTCCACACAGTGACTTCTCCAACTTTCCGTTCTATTGCATTTTTTAAGCTTATTTCCTCATTCAACATTGCTAGACACCCATTGTGCTAGTCAACATCCTCCTTTTCTGGGTCTTCCATTAGATTCGAAAAACTTCCATCCCTTTACAGTAAAACCCTTTTTTCCTTTTTAGTGCATCAACCTTAGGGCCTTAGAGGGTAACGTATATAAACCCTTAGCCACCCACATTTAATTTCTTTATTCAAAACCCTTCCTTTAAAACTAGAGCTTGAAAGTACCCTTAATCTTCTTCATTCCATAAGCAACAGAGAGAGCTCGAAAAAAAGGAGCATGGAGGCCAAAGGAAGGATGATGAAGAGAGGCACCATGGGTGGTTGTATGTGCGAAGCCACGACATGGCCATGAGCGAAGCCTTGGGGTACGCCATGGTAGGCGAAGACCTAGTGATTTGAACTATTTTGTTGATCAGATTTATATTATACACCCAAGTATAAGTGGTCGAATTGTAGATTTCTCGATTTAAGTTCAAGATTGATCTCACGAAGAATTTTAATAATTAGGAAATAAAATGAAAATTGTGCAATTATTGTTTAAAATAGGACAACATGAAATAGCTTGTGATGTGAGTTTAAATTGATAACTAGTCTAATTAAACGGTTGGTTGCAGATAAATTGTGAAAAGATAATAATATAAAAAGTATCCTTTAGTTTAAGGATTCCATATGTTTTATATTGGTTAAATACTGGAAATGCTACCTTATAACAATTAACTTCCATTTTACTGGAAAGTCAACCGGTAAGTCTGATGTATATAAACCATCACACAACAACTTCTTAGGTTAGCTAGTGGTATACGTACGTCAATTGACTAACCCTAATAACCCAGAAGGACAAGCCATTCATGAGGATTATTTGAATTACTCAATTGACAATATTATAATATGTACGTACATAATAAATCATAACACAACAACTTCTTATGTTAGTTGGTGGTATACATGTGTCAATTGACTAACCCTAATAACCCAAAAGAACAAGTCATTCATGAGGATCATTTAAATTACTCAATTGGCAATGTTATAATATGTACATACATAATAAACCATAACACAACAACTTCTTAGGTTAGCTAGTGGTATACATGCGTCAATTGACTAACCCTAATAACCTAGAAGGACAAGTCATTCATGAGGATCATTTAAATTGCTCAATTGGCAATATTATAATATGTACGTACATAATAAACCATAACACAACAACTTCTTAGGTTAGCTGATGGTATACATGCGTCAATTGACTAACCCTAATAACCTAGAAGGACAAGTCATTCATGAGGATCATTTGAATTACTCAATTGGCAGTATTATAATATGTACATACATAATAAACCATACAACAATAACTTCTTAGGTTAGTTAGTGGTATACATGTGTCAATTGACTAACCCTAATAACCTAGAAGGACAAGCCATTCATGAGGATTATTTGAATTACTCAATTGACAATATTATAAAATGTACATACATAATAAACCATAACACAATAACTTCGAGGTTAGCTGGTGGTATACATGTGTCAATTGACTAACCCTAAGAACCCAGAAGGACAAGCCATTAATGAGGATCATTTGAATTACTCAATTGACAATATTATAATATGTACGTACATAATAAACCATAACACAACAACTTTTTTGGTTAGCTGGTGGTATACATGTGTCAATTGACTAACCCTAATAACGTAGAAGGACAAGGTATTCATGAGGATCATTTGAATTATTCAATTGGCAATATTATAAAATGTACGTACATAATAAACCATAACACAACAACTTCTTAGGTTAGCTGATGGTATACATGTGTCAATTGACTAACTCTAATAACCCAGAAGGACAAGCTATTCATGAGGATCATTTGAATTACTCAATTAGCAATATTATAATATGTACGTACATAATAAACTATAACACAACAACTTCTTAGGTTAGGTGGTGGTATACATGTGTCAGTTGACTAACTTAATAACCCAGAAGGACAAGCCATTCATGAGGATCATTTGAGTTATTCAGTTGATCATATGATAGTAAGTAGGTGCATAATAAATCATAGCACAACAGCTTCTTAGGTTAGCTGGTGGTATTAATAAGCTATAACACAGAAACTTCTTACGTTAACTGGTCGTATACATGTGTCAATTGACTAACCCTAATAACCCAAATGAACAAGTCATTCATGAGGATCATTTGAATGCTCAATTGGCAATATTATAATATGTACGTATATAATAAACCATAACAGAACAACTTCTTTGGTTAGCTGGTCATAATATATACCAGTTAAACAATCTTAGTAATATAGAAGGACAAGCCATTCATAAGGATCACTTAGATCGTTAGTCTGATGATTATACCATGCTATAGTAAAACATCATCAGTGCTCCTTTGGAGGTCAAGCCATACCGGTGGAACACCGTAGATATTCAACTGATAATATTATTATGTATACTAGTTAAACGAACTTAGTAATCCAGAAGGACAAGCCGTTCATGAGGATCGCTTAAGTCATTAATCTGATAGTTTTATATACCATACAACTGTTAAAACATCCTCAGTGCTCCTTCGAAAGTCAAGCCATATCGGTTGAACACCATAGATATTTAACTGGCAAGTTGACGATTCATTGATATCATAATTCCGGGCATTATACTCAATTACGTATATCAATGTATCATGCATGAAGTTTATAATAAATATATATTTAGTAATTAATAAAACATCAACATTTTCAGAAGTTAACCAATACTGTACATATGTTTACCCTTCACTGAAAGATATAAGTAACTACTCACACTCCATTACTACAGACAAGCAAGGAGTGCAGGTAGTTTTCATTATAACTGTAATTAAAATACAGAGTCAGACACTTCTTTCACAATGAACAACTGAAATATAACCACCTTTCTTATCAGTTAAGACAAAAAGGTGGCAACAGTTCAACTATTCGAATAGAAAGATAACACAAAAATGTAGAAGTATAGAGATTCGACTTGTGAGTAGGACGGACCGGATTGGGTATTACTTTCTCTTTCTCTTTCTTTTTCTCTTTGGATTTCTCCTCTCTGGCCTTTTCCGGCTCTCTGTTGAAGAAAGCCATGCATGGCCTATATATATAGAAAATGAGGAAGCATGAGGTGGAGGATGAAGGTGAGCCACCAAGGGCCACCATCTGGACGCCAAGAGCCACCGTCCAGACAGTGGTGCCTTGCTGGAATTTAGTAAAATTAACAATTTTAAATTGTTTTATTTTACTAAGTTAGCTTATTTACTCTATTAATTCACACACTAATTAGGGTTAATCACCTAGGCAATGCCTTGTGAAGCCATGGGCGACACCAGGTGGCGTCATGGACGAAAGAGTGGATGCCTTAGGCGACAGCGCTGGAGGAGATACCTTAGGCAATGACACTGGAGGAGATGCCTTGGGTGACGGCACTAGAGATGAAGCCCTAGCGTAGGCGATGTGAGGGAGTTGAGTGATAGCATTCGGGAGCTAGGTGCTGGCGGGCAACTAGTTGGCATAGACGGA